AATAAAATAGCAACTCCACAACTTGATAGAATGATCGTTTTATGAGTGAATACTAGAGTTGATAAGACTTCATGATCAAAGATTTATTCCCATCAAATAGTAGTGTAAGTGCTTGTCCAACGAAATGCTTCTCAGTTCAATCTATCTACAAGGAATTTGTCTCCTCTACTAGGGCCAAGACTGAAAATTTTGCCTCTTTTTTGGGGGAATCTTGCACTACACACAATTCAATTTTTTAGCTGGCTAGCTTGGCATGGAATTTGGTGATACACTTGAAACGGTGAACCATATCCTTCTACATTGCTCTAAAGTCTGGAAAATTTGGTCTGTGGCCATAGATTGGTGGAGAATGGTCTAGGTGACACCCAGTTCGATTCAAGACCTCTTCGTACAATAACACATCCAAGGCTCATTGGGTGTTTGGCAATAATTTACCAAAGTTTTGAAGAAAACATAGCTTGTGCCCATTGAATTCCACTGAAATTGGCAGAAGAAGCGAGTAGTTTTTGAAAAATTTTCCCTAACACTATGTTTAGTTGGGGATTTGATGAAAGATTTGGAAAGGGAAATGGAAAAGAAATGTAAAATGTGAATAAAATATACCTATATTTCACATAGTTTCACACATCTTTTCCTTTTCTTTTTTTTTTCCAAATCCCTTCCCAAATCTTCCAAATAAACATAGTACAAAGCTCCAATGGAAGTCCTAACCATAGTTCAAGAAATGCTCTCCAAAATCATCGTCTTTCGATTGGCAATGAATCTTCAATGGGCTGGGAAAGTTTCGGACTTGACTGATGATATGAACCTCAAGGGTAAGCGTTGAGGTTATGCAAGAACATGATTTGAGCAAGCAAAGTAAAGGACTAAGATGATGATTGGAAGAAGAGAATGGTTTGTCATCATATAATTTGAAAGAAGTGTTTTTTGAGTAGTTGTTATTGCTGCCTTTTGCCTAGGTGTGTATGCGTATAAATAGGACTTGCATTTTGCATTGACAGTAAATATCATTAATTACTTGTAAAATAAATTTTTATACTTTGAAAAAATTTGGGCAAATTTTACTCTCTTTTTTTTTTTTTTGAAGACAAAACAAGATGCTCTGAAGTGTCATCACTACATCTGTAGGCTTAGGCCCAGGCCCCAAGGTAGCCGGTTGCCGGCCTGATTTAACCCAACCCAAAGGAAGGGACCCACTACTGAGGCACCAACAGAGCGCAACCATACACCACAGACGAGCCCAAGTTTCGAGGGAAGTATAGGCGAGGTCTCCGAAGCGAGCCAGCTACAAAGCAGCAAAATTTGCTCCTCCGAGGAATCGAACCTGGGTCATGCCTGGGGAGAGGGATGCCTTCTCCACTAGGCCACCACCCCTGATGATGGGCAAATTTTACTTTGTTCCTGACTTTTTAATTGTCTTAGTCAACTCCTAAATTTTGAGTCAAGTAGCAATTTGTTATAGGGAAATTCTATGTATACACACCATGCAAACTCTCAGTACATGCCACCAATGTGTTCATATATAAAATTTTGAACAAATATCAAATGTTCGGATTTAAAGTTAACAATAAAAATAAATTGTTCAAAAATACATCCTGTTCAATTATTTATATCTGAAACAACTGCTTTATGTTCATAAATTTATATCTAAATATTTGACTTTTGTTTGGAAATTTATATGCAAACATCATTTGTGGTGTGTACTGAGAGTTTATATGGTGTGTAAATAGAATTTACCCTTTGCTCTATTTACATAACGCCATTTACAAAATTAACAAAGAATAACCAGATGACAGTATTAATTGTACTTAGCACCCCTGTACTTTTTTCAAAATTTCACTTTAATCTTTAGCATTGTTGTACTTCTACTAAAATCTTACTTCAGCCCTTACAATTTAATTTTCCTCTAAATTTTTTAAACGATATTATTAACTGGACCCAATTGTTACTTGACTTAAAATGTAAAGGTTAACTGAGGCAACTAACCATCAGGGTTGGTGGCCCAGTGGTGAAGGCATTGCCTTCCCACAATAGTGAGTCAAGTTTGACTACTGTGGGGCACGAAATACTAGATTTTTCAATGACTCTTTTCTGAGATCTCGCGCTGTACTTCAATCAAACTTTGACCCTGCTAGGGAGTGATTGATGAGCTTCACTAGTGCCTCGGTGGTAGATTCAATCCTATGGGTTGTTGTTAGTAATGGGCGCCCATGTGGCATGACCATTTAAATTTGAATTTGATCCTTATCCAAATAGGTTTTGAATTTGAATTCAAAACTATTTAGGATAACCACTCAAGATACAGATATTATCAGTTTTAACTGATATGGATAGATATTATAATGTATTATATATCTGATATATGGTTATGGGTAATCAAGTGAGAAACAACGTATAGTCTGTTTCTACCCATATACTGACTCTCTCCCACAAAACAACGATCAAGTCTTTGCACTGTGATTTTGTGTGGGTGATATTCAATCTGTGATATCACTCCACTGCTGGGTTGATTTATCAGTTTTCTGGAAGCACGTGATTTATCCAAGAAGGTTCTATCATCAAGAAGGTATGATCTGATTATTTTATCCGCTGCATATTCTGTGTTTTTGATTTACAGTTGTGTTAAATCAAGTATACTCTAATCGAACCATGACCCTGCTAGGGGGTAGTTGATAAGTTCCATTGGTGCCTCGGTGGTAGATCCCTTCCTATAGGTTGGATTAAATCAGGCCGACAACTGGTTACCTAGGGTTTGGGCTTACGGATGCCGAGATGACACCTCTGATCTTTCTCTTCTTTTTTTTCTTTTTTTTTTTTTTTTGTTTGGGCTTACGGATGCCGTGATGACACCTCTGATCTTTCTCTTTTTTTTTTTTTTTTTTTTTTTCTTTTCCCTCAAAAACTGAGACAATTAAAAAATAAGAAGCAAAATAAGATTTTATGTAAAGTACAAAAGTACAAAGGTACAAAGTTGTAATTTGTCCAAAAAATTTCAGGAGATACCACTGAAAAGCACCCTTACCCCAATTTTAGATAATATTTTGTAAAAACATATTTAAATTATTTCAGTATAACAAATTCTAAGAAGTCTACACTTTTAAAATAAAATAAAATAAAATAAATTATAAGTGTGCATCCAACAGTCCGACTTGCAATTAAATAAATTAAAGCACAATTTACTATTTCAAAGGACCTGAGTTCTTTTCGTATTTATCTTTGTTTTTTACATCATGGTTCAATCATTGCATAAACAACCCTCAAAATACAAGGCTTGATAGAAACCATCTGGTCTCACTGACCAGACACGAAGCCACGGCTCCTCTTGTCGTTGACAATGGCGCTCCAAGGTACTGGAGAAAACATCAAAGCTTTGGTCATTGGCATTCCACCCGAACCCGCAGAAGTAGAGAATAGTTCCGAAGAAATTTTCCCTAAAACTCCAACGGAAGTCTTGACCGTTGTTCACCAATTGCACTCCTAGATCCTTGTCGCTTGATTTGCAATGAATCTTCAATGGGCTAGGTGTGTCTGGGACTTCACTGATTACATGAACCTCAAATCTTCTGTTTTGTTCAACAACAACATGATGATGTGAGCAAAGAAAGCAATAAACTGCCAAATCTTCTAAAGTTCAGCAATTTATTAAGTAAACAATTGATTGGTCCATTTTGCAGGAAATGGAAGTGGGTACATGTATTGTAAAAAATTTCGTTATAAAAGAAATTTAAGAATAAATTTTTATCATTGTGAGAATAACCGTTTTGAAAAGTTAAAAATAAGATTTTTAAGAATAAAATTTTAAAAATGTTACTAGTACATAGACTTGCAGAAACAAAATAATTTGGTATCAATATTGTTTATTTTTTTAGACAAAAAATTTAGTCTCAAAAGGATAATAATTCATCATCATTGTCCAATTTTTGTTACTAAAAATATAATAACGACATTTTTCGCAATAAAAATATTTGGTTCTTAAAAAATAATTTTGTCGCTAAATTTTAGTCTCTAAAATCTTAATTTTTTGTAGTGTAATAATTAAAATATAAATATTTTTCCTTTTTTAAATATTTTTTTATTCTCCACTGATGTAATTCTCCCATTTTTAATTATAGTATGTGGTGTATGTCTCAAAATGTATTTAGTCCATATTCTCTAAGTACTTATTTACATATAATAATAATCATAATAATAAAAATAATAATAAAATGCTCGAAATCTCCACTCAAGTTAAATTAGGATACAGAACAATTGTAAAACTCCATGTACTTAATTGTTTTTGTTAAAATAATTGTATGAATATGAGAAAATTTTAATTTTGCCCCCAAATGAACTTATGTTTTCTTGATTTATTTTAAATTTAAGAATAAAAATAAAAAAAAGGGGGTTAATTACATTTTTCATCTTTCTAATTTGACTCAAATTTTGCTTTAGTCCCTATAATTTTAATTTGTTCAATTCAGTCCCTACACTTTACGTCTAGTTTCAATTTGGTCATTCCGTATAAATTTTTATTAATTTTGTCTATATGTACATGTTAGATAATTAACAAGTGTTTCAAAATTGTTAATTTTACCTTCCAATTTAGACGAGAAAACAAAATTAAAACCTTAGAAAATTGACAAGTGACCCAAAATTGTTAATTTACACCCCCAATTTAGACTGAAGAACCAAAATTGAAACTAGGCTTAAAAGTTCAAGGACTAAATTGTTCAAATTAAAACTATGAAAACTTAAGTAAAATTTAAATCAAATTATAAATGTGAAAACTGTAATTAACCCAAAAAATAAATAGCAACTCCACAACTTGATATAATGGACATTTTATGAGTGAATACCAAAGATGATTGAGACTTCATAATCAGAGTTTTATTCCCATGGAATAGAAAACTAAACATAAATAGTTAACCATACATAAATTTTTCTAAATCACTGTGTTTTTCTTCTGCATGATGATTCAATCGTACAGATTCTTATTTTTTCCAAAAAAGCAACATTAGATATCACCAGGTATGCAACTGTGTCAGATTCGAGTCACTATTTCCGAGATAGAAAGCATCTGGTTTTACTACCCAGACACACATATAAGGCAGATCTGGTGTTTCGCAATAAGGTACTAAATGCTTGTTGAAAACATCAAAGCTGGTGTCCTTTGAATTCCACTGGAATCGGCAGAAGAAGAGAGTACGTTCCAAGAAATTCATCCTAAAACTCCAACGGAATTCCGCACCATTTTTCAGAGAATTGTATCCAAGATCGTCGTCTTTCGATTGGCAGTGAAACGACAATGGGGTGGGTATGTCTGGGACTGCACTGATGATATGAACCTGATAACGTTCGAAACCTGCAAGAACATGATTCGAGCAAACAAAGTAAAAGGCTAAGATGATAGTTGGAAGAAGAGAACGGTTTATCCTCATATGCCTCATTTTCTACAACTGGATAGAAGTGTTCTGAGTTGGTGTTCTTGTTGCCATTTGTGCCTGTGTGTATTGTATATAAATAGTACTGGTCTAGCTGTGGTTTAAATGTGTTTCTATTTACGCTGTAATAAATCAGTAAATATAATTATGAGTATTTAAATAGATGAGTAATCCTAGGGATCACGTATTTATATTAAAAAATTTATTCAGATCATAGTGATATGGGAGTTGGGTCCACCAGCATTAACTACACAATAAATAAAAAATTGACGCCACACCATTATGGTTATTTTTTGAGAATCTTAAATATTTTTCTAAATAGATTATCAATAAGTTAATTCATTCATTATATATTTTTGTATGTCTTTTTATAAAAAAATTTAAAAATATATTTAATTTTTTTTTTCATTCAGATAGGTCCAATTTATATATTTTGTATATTTATTTTAAATCAATGTACAAATTACAAATACCTAAAACTTCCAAATTATGTCACATTACTTATTAGTACAATAATTGATATGTACCAATTAATACATGCACCAATTGACCAATTGATATATCAATTAGTGTACAATCAACTATTAGTACATTAATTGATATACCAATTAATACATGCACCAATTGGTATATCAATTAGTGTACTAACATATGTTATGGCATTATTATTGACCCTACCCATTATACAAATTACAAATACTTAAAATTTCTAAACTTATGTCCAATCACTTATTAGTACATTAATTAATATACCAATTAGGACATATAACATCATTCCAGATTTATGGGGCTTCTAAAATTACACTTACCTCATTTATTTTTTCTGATATTGTCAATATTTCCTCTTCTATCATATATTTCTTAAATATTGTCAAGTATGCTCCAATCCAGATTACGGATTGAGAATTTGCCTTCCTTTTCTTATTGTCTACATGATCTCTTATGTCAATACTCTTTTTTTTGCGCTAAGTTTTTACATTATTTTAAACTTGATTAAATTACAAATTCGTTTAGTATGTGATTTAAATTTAAGTTCTTAATTGAGGAGGTTCGCACACTGGTCCGTTTGGTAGAAATGTAAAAAAGTGATTATAAATTATAACTTAACAGATTATAGCTTACAACTGTAAGCATTAACTGGTAACCTGTTTGGTGTAGTTGTGGGATTATAGATTTAAGTTGCAGAATAGTGTTTAGTAAATAAGCTGTAAAATAGCTTTTTCTGTATAATTAACTTTTTTGCTCTTATATGATATAAAAATGATACTTTTGTCATTTTTTTTCAATTTTAATTTTAAAAAATTATTTCATTAATAAAAGTTAATATAATTAGTATTAATTAGTATCAACTAATATAAAAATTGATACACTTGATAAAAATGTAATAGTAGTATTATTGTAATAATCTTTTTCCATTATAAATTAATTAGTATCAATTAATTACTTAATCGGTATCAATTAATTGCTTAATCAGTATCAATTAATATTAAAACTATTAATTAGTGTCAATTAATGGCTTAATTAGTCTGAATTAATACTAAAATTATTAATTAGTATCAATTAATATTAATAATTAATTTTTATTAGTATCAAATAATATTAATAATCAATAATTGTTATTAATTAGTATCAATTAATAATTAATTCATTACAAAAATATACAATATTAAATTTTTTTGACATTTCTGATTTTGTTTTTATTAAATTTTTTTATTACAATTAATAATATAACAATTGTTATTTATTTAATTTATTATTCTTTTTTATTACAATTAAATTCCCTCCCTCACTCTCACGTTTACAAGAAGAGGGCTGAAGTGTGATGTATCAAACATGCGTGAAGTGTGAGAAGTAGTGGCCTAGCATTAGCCCACCCAATGACAAAATGGTAGTAAATGCAAATTAATGTAATTGAACTTTATTTAATCTAATTAAATCATTCCAAATCAAATTTTAATTAAATCTATCATAAAATCACATAAATTCTAATTAACACATAACACCAATCAATTTCTGAATCGGCCGCCGATAAGGCTTTCAATTCGCAATTCGAAACTAAAAATATGAACAGATCAATTTATGACAAACAGATAGAAAATGCAATCAAGCAACATACTCATGCGTTCAGTTCAGAATTTCAGTCTGTTCAATTACGTGTCATGCTTAATCATAGATTAGCACTAATCAGAGGTGAGGGTTGTCACAGTCTTCCCCCCTTAAAAGAGTTTGGCCCACCAAACTCGGATTACCTTCATTTTGGTAGAACACCGGATTCAGGGGGAACAGTTCAGGATATCTCTTCAATATATCATCTTCTCTTTCCCAAGTGGCATAAGTGCCACCCTAGTTTTGCCAAACAACTTTTGCCAACGGGATTTCTTTATTTCTCAACTTCTTAATCCATCGATTTACAATCTGAATAGGTCGTTCTTCATAAGTGTAGTCGTCATTTAGCACTACATGGGTAGGCTCAATCACGTGGAAGGGATCCCGAAGATAGTCCCTCAACATTGAAATATGGAAGACATTATGCATATGCTCCATTTCAAGAGGAAGCGCTACTTGATACGCTACCGGATTAATCTTTTCGATGATTTCATACGGTCCGACATACCTCGGCGCTAGCTTACCCTTGACCCCAAAACGGGTCTGGCCTTTCATCGGTGTCACTTTAACAAAAACATGATCACCTACTTCGTATACCCTGTCTCGCCTTCGGACATCCGCATAACTTTTCTGTCGACTTTGTGCGGTTTTCAATCTTTGCTGAATCAGTTTCACCTTTTCTGTGGTTTCATGTATAATCTCGGGCCCAAGCAAAGGCCTATCTCCAACTTCTGCTCAGCAGATAAGTGATCGACATTTCCTGCCATATAAAGCCTCGAAAGGCGTCATACCAATACTCGCATGAAAGCTGTTATTGTAGGCAAATTCAGCCAAAGGTAGATGACTTTCCCAATTTCCCTGGAAATCAAGAACACACATCTGTAGTAAATCTTCCAGAGTCTGGATGGTTCTTTCTGACTGGCCATCTGTCTGAGGGTGGTATGCACTACTCAGTCTCAGTTCAGTACCCAATGCTGTCTGTAGGCTTTGCCAAAATCTCGATGTAAACTTTGAGTCCCTGTTAGAAACAATAGACACAGGCACTCCGTGCAATCTAACAATCTCATCAATATAAATTATAGCTAATTTGTCCGCATTGTAAATTGTTTTGACAGGTAAGAAATGAGCAGATTTAGTCAGTCTATCAACAATAACCCAAATTGAATCCATACCTTTACTGGAGTCCCTGGAAATCAAGAACACACATCTGTAGTAAATCTTCCAGAGTCTGGATGGTTCTTTCTGACTGGCCATCTGTCTGAGGGTGGTATGCACTACTCAGTCTCAGTTCAATACCCAATGCTGTTTGTAGGCTTTGCCAAAATCTCGATGTAAACTTCGAGTCCCTGTTAGAAACAATGGACACAGGCACTCCGTGCAATCTAACAATCTCATCAATATAAATTATAGCTAATTTGTCTGCATTATAGATTGTTTTGACAGGTAAGAAGTGAGCAGATTTAGTCAATCTATCAACAATAACCCAAATTGAGTCCATACCTTTATTAGAGCGAGGTAAACCAACAATGAAATCCATAGTGATATGTTCCCATTTCCACTCCGGTATTGGTAAGGGCTGCAGTAAGCCTGCGGGTCGTTGATGTCCGGCTTTGACTTGTTGGCAATGAAGACATTTCGGTACAAAGTCAGTAATCTCTTTCTTCATTCCCGGCCACCAGAAATTTAGTTTCAAGTCTTGGTACATTTTCGTATTTCCTGGATGGATAGACAGTTTCGAATTGTGGCCCTCTTGCAAAATTCGTCTTTTCAGTTCAGAATCATTCAGTACACACAACCTTCCCTGGAATTTCAACACATTGTTCTCAAATTTAAAGTCCATCCTCGGTTTGGACTCCTGGTCATCAATGATCTTTTTCAAAAAGTCATCCTGTTACTGTTTCTCTTTAATCTCCTCAATCAGTGCCGATTGAGCAAAAATAGTGGCTAAGGTTCCACCTTGTTCACGCAAAACAATCTCAACTTCAAATTTTTCAAGGTCACATAGCAATTCTTTTTGCCCGGTGAATAAACAGGCTAAATTTCCAATTGACTTCCAACTGAGTGCATCAGCAACGGTGTTAGCTTTCCCTAGATGGTACAAAATTTGCAAATCATAATCCTTTATCAGTTCTAACCATCTCCGCTGCCTCATGTTCAGTTCTTTCTGTGTGAAGAAGTACATCAAACTCTTGTGGTCTGTGTGCACCTCACATGTTGCCCCATATAGGTAGTGACGCCAGATTTTCAATACAAACACTACTGCAGCAAGTTCTAAGCCATGGGTCGGATAATTTTTCTCATGTGGTCTTAGTTGTCGGGAAGCATATGCGATAACTTTACCATTCTGCATTAAGACACATCCCAAACCCTTATAAGAAGCATCACTAAATACAGTAAATCCATCCATACCTGAGGGTAAGGTGAGAATCGGTACAGTCACAAGTCGAGTCTTTAACTCTTGAAAAGTTGATTCTCTTTGGTCAGTCCAGTCAAATGATATCCCCTTTTGAGTCAACTGAGTCAATGGTATGGCAATTTTGGAGAAGTCCTTCACAAACCTTCTGTAATACCCGGCCAAGCCTAAGAAGCTTCGAACTTCAGTAACACTAGTCAGTCTAGGCCAATTCACCACTGTTTTAATTTTCTGCGGGTCAACGATAATGCCATCCTTACTAATCACATGTCCCAAAAACATAACATTATCAAGCCAAAATTCACATTTTGTCAGTTTTGCATAGAGTTTCTGTTCCCTTAAGGTCTGTAAGGCAATTCTCAAATGATGTTCATGTTCTTCTTCACTTTTGGAGTAAATCAGAATGTCATCTATAAAAACAACTACAAATTCGTCGAGGAATGGTTTAAAAATTCTGTTCATAAGGTCCATAAATGCAGCAGGTGCATTTGTAACTCCAAAAGGCATAACAAGGAATTCGTAATGTCCATACCTTGTTCGAAAGACAGTCTTTTCAATGTCCTCTGGTTTGACTTTTAACTGGTGGTATCCGGATCTAAGGTCAATTTTAGAGAACACCTAGGCACCCTGTAACTGGTCAAACAAATCATCAATTCGAGGCAATGGATATTTGTTTTTCACTGTTACCTTGTTCAGCTCACGGTAGTCAATGTAGAGTCTCAAGGAGCCGTCTTTCTTTTTCACAAACAAAACTGGGGCGCCCCACGGTGAAGTACTGAGCTTGATGAGCTTCTTATCTTATAGTTCCTGTAGCTGAACTTTCAGTCAGTTTGGTAGGTGTCATTCTGTACGGAGCTTTGGAAACTGGCTGTGTACCCGGAATCACATCAATGGTGAACTCAATGTCCCTGTCAATCAAATCCCCTGGAAAATCATCTGGAAAAACATCTGGGAATTCTCTAACTATAGGAATACTATTCACATTAGCTTTAACATCAGTAGGTACAGTCAATATGCAACATAGATACCCTTTACACCCATTTTTAATCAGTTTAAATGCTTTCATGGATGAAATCAGATATGGGGGAGGTACTACTCCAACTCTGCTAAACACAAATTTAAGTAAACCAGGTGGACGGAAAACAACTTGTTTTGTTACACAGTCTATAGTAGCATGATATTTTGTTAACCAGTCCATTCTCAAAATTACATCAAAGTGGTCGATGTTCAATGGCAGTAAATCAATATATAAATGTACATCCCCAACAACAATCTCACATGCAGGATACATATAGCACATGTCATGGATCCCCCGACGGGTGAAGACACAGCTAACAAATAGTTCATGGGTTCTAGTGGTCTATTCAATTTCCGTGAAAAAGCATGCGAGACATATGAATGTGTAGATCTCGAATCAATCAGAACATAAGCATTTTGAGCACAGATTGAGAGCATACCTGACACAACGGTCTCGGTATTCTGCACATCTCCCGGTACGAGTGCAAATACCCAGCCTTGCCTTATAGGCTTCTTTCCAGTAGCTTTGGGGTTGGGTTTTGGTGGAGTAGTTGATGCTACGGCGCTAGCTGTAGCTTTACTATTGCCTTGAGAAGTGGAAGGGCAATCTTTGACCATGTGGCCCACCTTGCCACACTCCTTTGTGTCTCTTGCCACACTCTGAACAGGGCGGTATGGAATTGTTACCCCAGCTAGAACTGTTCGAAGACCCGGTGTTTTGCTTCTTGTTCAGTGAACCGTTCCGGCCTTTCTTAAATTTAAAGCCCTGTCTCTTACCGTGCCACTCAGTTGCTGGTGTTTCAGCCTGTTTCAATGCTTCGATATTTGACTCGGCCATTATTGCTCGGCCATTATTGCTCGGTCAAGAACATCCACATATTTCAGTAATTTCAGCACATTGATTCTGTCAAGTATCTCTACATTAAGGCCACCTTCAAACTTCCTGGCCTTTTTGTAATTAGTGTCCACCATGTGTGGTGCATATCTGTCGAGTTTGGTAAACTTTGATTCATACTTTGCTACTGACATGGTACCCTGCTTTAACTGTTCAAATTCAGTTACTTTACGATCCCTATCACACTAAGGAAAATATTTCTCAAAGAAGGCTCCCTTAAACTGAGCCCAAGTCATAACATTGTCGGTGTCACGGACAAGCATCCACCACCGTCTGGCCTCTTTTTCTAAGGTAAAGGTAGCCAACAATACCTTGTGTGCCTCAGAACACAGAAACACTTCAAACAACTTCTCCGTTTCTAGCACCCATGCTTCGGCCTTTAATGGTTCCAGGCCTCCTTGGAAGGATGGTGGTTTCATTTTACTGAACTTCTGTGTCAGAGCAATTATATCATCATTAACATTCTGCTCGGGTTGAAGTGGAGGATGTGGGGGCTGTTGGTTCTATTGTAGCCTCAAGGCCTCAGTCAACAGTTCAACTGTCCTTTCTAATCTTGTCATTCTGGCATCAGACGATTCTGTTTCATCGGCATTCCTTGCATTGTCCATTTCACTATATGCAATACAGTAATAATAAACATAGGAATTGCATACTTAAACACCTTAGCACATTAGCACATATATTCATGTCACAGCCACACACACTTTTTCAATGCTTATGCAATGCCCTATTTACTTTTCTAGGACATCCTATAGCTCATTTACACGCGTATGTGCGGTATAACTCGTGGTTTGATATCGCTCTGATACCACTCTGTGACGACCCAAACTCGCCTCTATAGGTTTAACCGGCCAGTAATCCGTGATTACCGAAGGCCTGCTTAACAGTAAAGACAGTAATACAGAGTACAGGGGCTGGCGGAAGCCAAACCAGTAATAAAAGATAACCAATGAGCTGTGGCAGTCTGTATGCAAAAGGACTTTTTCGAACATATTCACATTCATAAGCAAAAAATATATACACCATATGTACAAACATTCAGAGTACAGTACAAGTCTTAAACAATATTACAAAATAGAGACGGAAGGGTGAAACTGAGACACCCTAAATCAGCCTTAGCTCGGTCAAGCTTGGAACCTCGAGGTGAGGCACAATGGTTGGCTTGACAAAAAGGGAGCTAACCCGACGCTCCTAGCATCGATCCGGTGCCTGAACACCTACATATAAATATAAACAGTGAGCTAAAGCCCAGTGAATAACAACTGTGTAAATAGGTTAAGAATGAATGTCCTTTTAGCCATTAAACAGTCATATCAGTCATTTAGAAATCATAGCAGTTATATGTGGTACATCCAATAGCAAAACAGTACAGTAGGTCTTAACAGACCGAACAGTCAGTTGATGGCCATCATAACAGTAAACAGTAATTGTAGCAACCCTCACTTCATCTTAGTCATGCTCTCATGCATTTATATGATTTTGTCTTGTTAAGCTTGCACTTCAAATCTTATCTTTGTTTTGCTTAAGTGTTACTGCATGCTTTGTCCCTTGCTTGATGTGAGTTAGCCGAGGTCATCCTAAAGCCTGGGTCGCACTTTTGGATCTTTTGGTTAACCTCCACTCGCACCTTGGCATATTGGCCGAGATGTCACTATCTAGGCCGAGGTGTTCATCACCAAGACCGAGATGTGTATTATCTAGGCCGAGATGTTACCCTAGCACCTAGTGATCTTATTACTAGATTGGTATGACCTAGACTAAGGTGTGGCACATCTAGGCCGAGGTGTGGCACAGCTAAGTCAAGTGTTGTCCCTTCTAGCCGAGATCATTAAGACCTTACTTGCCAAAGCCATGTCCTTAGCCGAGATCATTACTTGCCGGAGTGCCTATGCCATCTTGCTTGTTGAACACGCTTTGTCATAGTCTTGTCTTTTCACTCAGCCACCTTTTTTAGAAGAGCCAACCGGCCGATGCCACGTGTCCCAGCAGAGGGTTAAGTCAGTGAGCTGTTCAGAAACACATCATTTTGTATCATATCCTTGTCTTGAGAGAGAAAGGCTCTAGGAAGAAGAATGAGGAGTTCTATGAAAGGGAATAGATTTCCAAGCTTGATCTTCACACCTTGAGCCATTAGATTCGTGTCTTGAGGTTAGAATCTTGATCTACCCTCGTTGTTCTTATTGTTCATCTAGCTGCATTGCATGATCGAGCACGATTTGTAAGCCATGCATTGATTTAAAGTTTGGTTTTAGAAAGAGAAAGTGATATTCATGTGTTCTTGAATAAAAGCCTTGTTTGATCCGAAAGCTTGCATCAAGATTCATGTTTTTGTGTTTGTCTTCATAAGATCTTCAAGTATGGGTACCCAGGTCCATGTTTTCGAACTCATTGCTAGGGGATTCTAAACCTTTGTAGCACAAGTCCGTACGTGCTAGGGGATTCTAAACCTTTGTAGCACAAGTCCGTACGTGCTAGGGGATTCTAAACCTTTGTAGCACAAGTCCGTACGTGCTAGGGGATTCTAAACCTTTGTAGCACAAGTCCGTACGTGCTAGGGGATTCTAAACCTTTGTAGCACAAGTCCGTACGTGCTAGGGGATTCTAAACCTTTGTAGCACAAGTCCGTACGTGCTAGGGGATTCTAAACCTTTGTAGCACAAGTCCGTACGTGCTAGGGGATTCTAAACCTTTGTAGCACAAGTCCGTACGTGCTAGGGGATTCTAAACCTTTGTAGCACAAGTCCGTACGTGCTAGGGGATTCTAAACCTTTGTAGCACAAGTCCGTACGTGCTAGGGGATTCTAAACCTTTGTAGCACAAGTCCGTACGTGCTAGGGGATTCTAAACCTTTGTAGCACAAGTCCGTACGTGCTAGGGGACTCTAAACCTTTGTAGCACAAGTCCGTACGTGCTAAGGGACTATAAGCATTTGTAGCACAAGTCCGTACGTGCTAAGGGACTATAAGCATTTGTAGCACAAGTCCGTACATGCTAGGGGACTATAAGCATTTGTAGCACAAGTCCGTACGTGCTAGGGGACTATAAGCATTTGTAGCACAAGTCCGTACGTGTTAGGGGACTCTAAACTTTTGTAGCACCTTTGATTATGTCATCCCTTACGTTATTGATGCTAGTAAGCATCCCTTGAGACTTGAAAGATTTGTTAGATGAACTTGATTTGTCCTTTGATTTCGTACAAGATATGATATGTTTTGGCTTGATAAAGATCTCGGATATCATTCATGCAAACCCCTTTATTGATTATATCATTCACTAAGTATCCAAGCTCACCCTCTCTAAATATATATATAGGTGACGAGCAGGACGGCGGTGACGCCTAGATGATTGTTGCAACTTGTTTTGGATTCGCATTTTTGTAGCATCTTGAAGATCATGCTTCTTGGCTTGTAGTTATTTCTTTTGTATATCTTGGCTTGAGAAGCCTTTTGATCAAGATGCATTTTGTACCTTATGTATTGTATCCAAGTTGTAAACTACATTAAGATGTATGTCCTTTCATTTGATCTATGCACAGCTCTTATGGACTATCTAGATTCAAATTTATTACTTCCACACCTGTAAGCCCCATATGTATACTCTGATCATGTGTGACTTTGTAAGTTGGCCTTCGGTAATCTCGGATTACTGGCCATCATGGCACCATTCTACTAGGGACGGGATGCGGTCGTGACAGATTGGTATCAGAGCACAAATTTCCTTATAGTACGTTATTCACACACTTCGAGTCCTAAAGAGCTTAGGATTTCCCTTAGAATGATATTAGGATTTGCATCATATTGCTTTCTACTTGACAAGGTGTGTATCATCTCGGCATGACTGTTTGTTACTTGCATACATGTTATTCGTTCATTTTGTTTTAAAGTCATATTTTGCATACTCCTAGCATCATGAGAATGGAGTAGTATCCCCACCTTACTTGATCTCATCCATGAAGGCCTATAAATTGATTCAAAAAGGGTGTCAAGGTTATCTGTGTAGTCTACTAAGTGATTCGAATGGAAGCGTTGAGTTAGCCAACATCTCAGTTGTTAAGGAATTCCCTAACGTTTTTCCAAGTGACTTGCCTGGCAGTTTAGTCGATAGAGAAGTAGAGTTTACTGTTGACGTCATGTCGGGAACCCGGCCTATCTCCAAACACCCTATAGAATGGCCCCAGCCGAACTTAGGGAGTTGAAGGTGCAATTACAAGAGCTGTTCGACAAGGGTTTTATTAGGCCGAGCATTTTACCCTGGGGAGCCCCATTTCTATCTGTTAAGAAAAAGGATGGTACCCTTTGCCTTTGTGTCCACTACCGAGAACTAAACAAGGTAACCATCAAGAACAAGTACCCATTGCCGAGGATCGATGATTTACTTAATCAACTACAAGGAGCACGAGTCTTTTCAAAAATTGACCTCAGGTCGGGCTACCATCTGTCACAACCCAACCCTAGGGCTTAGAGTTGGAATCGTGACTTAGTAACTTTCTTACTCGAGGCAAATTAAGCTGCGCAAGCGAAAATAATAAAAAATAATTAAACAGAAATTTTACTTTATACTACTATTTAAAAAAAAAAATACATTTCTAGGACTTTCATTATTTTATTATTCAGTGACCAGCCCCGAATAGAGACAAAATGAAGTAAAAATATAAAAAAAAAAAGAAAAAGAAAGATAAAATAGTGGTTTAACAACAGCCCATGAGCAGGTTCCATTTCGTGGGGTTATGGATTTTCCTTACATCTTGTCACCTGAAAGGGTAACAGCTATAAGCACACAGCAGAGTGAGAAATATTATGCCAAGAGTGTAGGGAATACAAAATATTCAAGGATAATTAGTTAGGCTAAAATATTTGCATATTTTAATTTAAAATGACAATTTATTTAAAGTGGCAGAATACAGAAATCATAAATAATCATAACCACGGTATAAAACAGGACAG